CAATATATTGCCCTTTCTGCAAATCTTACTAGATAGTGCCATAAAGGAAGACAACACAATGTGAAAGCCGCAGATATGCTACCCTGTGCTCGGTAAAACCTTAATATACTGTAGGCTAGGCTTTCATATATGCATCTATAAATATCACAAACAGGAGTGGGGATATTGTGCAGCCTTGTCTGAGACAGTGGCCACCTGATGCCAAGAATACAAACCACCTTCTTGCTCGAAGTATCAAATGATTGCACATAACCCCAGTACCCTGTTCTCCAACAACACCTCGCACGGAACACCTGAGGGAACACAGTAATAAGCCTCTTCAAAATCCACACACACCAGATAAAGGAAAGAAAGGCAAACTGTTGTGACCCCTTCATCTGCAAGAGGGTAAAACCTGCTCACTGCTCTGAATCAGAGTTTCCACAATTGGTGTTTAGTCTCCTCTCAGTTTAACAGCCGACAAACTCAAAGTAAAATCAAGAGTCTAGCCAGCCGTTTAAAGCCTTTACTGTCTTCTACCTTTCCCTCCTCTATCCTCTTATCCTTGTCTTTGAGTTTGGCCGATCAGTGAGACGACTACCCGTCAACCTCTTGTCCTTCTGTCAGTCTTGGCTGCTCTGCTCTGCTGGCCTCCGGCTCACCTCAACCAGACAGACCAGAACACAGCATGGCAGCATCCCGGCACTGAGCGCACACCCCAAAAGCACACAGAGCTTTAATTCAGACCAACACTTCCTACTTTATGTGTGTGTCTGGGAGGGCAGGAAGCCAGCGCGGTAATAGGATGTTCCTCGCTTGCTTTGTGATCACTGATGTCTCAAACACCTGGGTTAGAGCCAGAGGAAAAGCAAAGGCACCAAGCTTAATTTAACATAATAATACTGCCTTGAGTGCTAGACACTTTCTATTAATATAATGCTTTTTGTAAAAACCATAAATGATTATTGCATTGGTTTACAATCACAAAGGTTGGAATGTACTTTGTGGCACCTTCAAAAACGGAGGGCTCATACGATGATCAAAAGGATAGGAATTAAGGAATAAAACATATTTCTGCTACTATGAGCTGTTACCTCTAATGGCGCATTTCCACTGCAGCACGTAGCACGGTTTAAGCGTGCCGTGCCAAACCCGGCCCGTTTTTTGTTAAGTTTCCACTAGGGGTAGTTCCTGCTAGCAGGTACTGTTTCACGGTTTTTCTGGCTCTCCGAAATCCAGGTTCTTTCCGCGCCAACAACCGGGCTGAATATGCTAAACTAGTGAGAGAATCGCTGGCAAAGGGGCTACAACTTCAACAAAATGAACATATTTGACAGTGATTTAATTGTAATACACGTTTTCAAAATGATGCCGAAGTAACAACATACTGATACCGGTTAGTAAAAACCATGAATTAATGCTTTGACAAGTCTGCAGACAGACGGCAGGCGAAACACCTTTTAAAATGCGTGTTTTCTGAATGGAGATCGGCTAAGCTAACGTTATATATGCTCCGACCGTCCACACTCACAACAACGGCCTATACAGACATAAATAAACCAGCGACTGTATTCGCCATGACACAGGCAGAATGTGGTTTGTACTTGTTTAACTTTTGTCTAGTTTCTGAACAGATATGAAGAGCTGTGAGCTCTGAGGGCTAACAGCTAACGGCTGATGTTGGTTTTGGCTGCATCTCAGGTCGGTTAAATGGAATCCTTGCGTCCCTCACTTGCGTCGTTTCCCTGCGTTTAGTCCCTCCCACCAGGGAAGCATGGAGAGACGCAAGGAAACCACGAGAAGCAGGGAAATGAGTTTTAAGAGCAATGGGACATCCTTTCCTCCGGAGCGTCACGTGAAGGGACGTCCGTTTGTGATGGCACCACACAGGGCGGTGGTGGCGAAGTCGATAGGGACTTGGCTTGGCAACTGGAAGGTCACCAGTTCAAGTCCCGGCAAGACCAAGTGCTATCGAGGTGTCCCTGAGCAAGGCACCGTTCCCGACACTGCTCCCCGTGCGCCGTTCAAAATGGCAGCACACTGCTCCTAACACTAGGATGGGTCAAATACAGAGAAACAATTTCCCCATGAGGGATTAATAAAAGTCCCTCTTATCTTATGTCTGACAGCAGCTCTGTCCCCGTTGTTTTCACACATTTACTGACATAAACATTTGTATCATCTGTTGTAGACCCAAATAAATAAAACAAGAACTCATTCTCAAAAAAGATAAAACGCCATTCTTAAAATGAATAAACGAAAAAAGCGATCATGAAAATGTTTCCAATAAATGAATAAAATGATTTTTGTCCACTTTGTTGTTCAGATATATCACATATTTGTAACTAAATGATACATGAATTGAAACAAAACACAGTATAAACTGAGGAGTGACTCTCGTGAGTTTCATGTATTTTCTTCACTCCGCTGGGAAACTGCTCTCATGTCAAGAAGCATCAGATCAGTGCATCGTCCAATCAGTGAGTGATACACAGTAAGGGGGGCGGAGCGAGTGCCTGAGGATTTCACCGGAGGATGTTCTGGTGGTTCCTCCATTATCGCTCCTCCATTATCGCTCCTCGATCCTCCGGCAGAAATAAGCGCCATGGGACGCTACTCAACATGGCGCAGACAAAATAAACTTCCGGTGATACTGAGGACCGAGGAAATGAAAATAACCGACCTGAGACGCAGCCTTTGTGTTTCGCATTGAAGATGACGTCACGGCTCCGCCTACACTGCGTTACTATAGTTACTACCCCAGTTCCTAAACTGTAATGGAAACGCAGCATAAAGTGAGCCTGGCCTACCAAGAACTAACTATACCGTACTAAGCCGTGCGAGGCCCTGCAGTGGAAATGCGCCATAACATGCCTCTCAAAATTGTTAAATAAAACACAGCTTGTTTTGCTATTTGGTGTAATCATAATTTCATTTCAAGATAAAATGTTGAAAATGTACTGGTTCTAGATTTTTTATTTAATATCACAGTTTATAAAAGTTTGATTGATTGATCAATCAATCAATCAATATTTGGCCAAAGACTGTAATATATTCTATTGGACAGCCAATCAGGTTAATTTGAGATCAGACAGCCAATCACCTACTACTTAATTAGACAGACAATATTGTATAACATCTGACATTAGATAGTCAGTCATCTGTTAAACAGAGTAGTTTAACACCCCACTATGTGGACAATAATCCGTAATCTGACATGAGGCAGCCAATCATCTGTAATCTGACATCAGGCAACCAACACATTAATCTCATCATTGGATTGGGGGGGATTATGACGACCCGTCAGCAGGCGTTCCCCCACTCAACAGATCATGATTAGCCTTGCTGCAGCACTGACGAAAAGATGCGGAGATGAAGTGAACATCATTTTAAACTTTAAAATGTAGTAACTTTTACTAAAGCTTTACTTAAACTATAAGGTTGTTTTTCTTGTCATATTGATTCACACTGGGATTGTTCTCTTAGAGCTTATTTTAAAGAATTGTATGTGATATAGAGCTTTAGTAAATAAACAAAATATTGACATCTGAAAATATGATTGGTTAAATGCTTAAATACCCGTTTCTTGTTATACCATTATTGCTACGGATACCTTTTCATGAACTAAATCAAATGGCCTAGAAACAGAAAACTTTAAGTTAATATTTTTCAGATAAACACATTGGCTGAAACTACATTACGCCTTTAGAAACAGTCTAAAAAATCCCAGAAAAAAAGAGATTAAAAAAGGGATGGATAACATGAATGGAAGATAACAAACACTGAAATACTGACAAATCACATTTGTATTATGTATGCAATCCTTTGGAATCACAGACAAGCAAACAGTTATCTATTTGTCTGTAGCAGCATGGTCATGTTAAATTTGAGGGCTGAGCAAGCAAAAAAATAGCTTATAATAAACTGAAGATAATAACCACTGAGGTCAGCTGGAGGAGTATCATCTAAGGGGGATTTACCCCCCCCCCCTTTCTATACACACACACACACACACACACACACACACACACACACACACACACACACACACACACACACACACAGAGGATGCTGCTGGTTGCCTCTCTGGTTGCAACAGCTTGTGATGGCCAACACCCCAAAAAACACAGTATGTCATATGACTCTAATTTAAACAAATATAAAATATTACATAAATTATCTCTATGCTGTAACACAAAATTAAACCAGATCATAATATCTAATTTGGCTCAAGGAACTAACTGAAAAAGACATGTTCACATACTCTGATATCTACTGTATATAGAAAAGAGCAGTAGCAACTCATGATTTAAGTAATACAAATGTGATTATATGACTAATGTGTATTTGGCTACACGTTCAATTATAAAAGCCAGAAATACAGGGTAGACGTTGGGAAGTGAGTTGTATTGGCTGATTCATGAGCCACTTCTAATTACATGGAAGTTAAGACAAAAGATTGGATAAGTGGCAACAAAGGGCCATGTGATGCCCTTCAGATAAACCAGTAGCTTTGAAGGTAATGTTTATTTTAGGTAAACCGAACAGGACGCAGGTCTGTGTCGGGATTCTGCTACCAGGAATCCCTGCCAGCTTCTCCTTGAAACAGGGTGTGACACTCAAATAAACCTCAACATACAACTTTGTAACTAGCCAATAAAACAAAAACATCAATTCAGCAGTTTTTATATAATTCAAGTTTATAAGTAACCAGGCGGAGAAAGCAGCGTGACCCCCGCCCCGGCTCCCGTGCCCGTGTGTCTGCAGTCTATTGTTCCGCCGCTGTCACAGCCGTTAAGGTGCACCGCGGATTAGCTTTAGCTTTAGCCTCGCCGGCTAACTGCACAGCCGGCCAGCTAGCGTCAATGTTAGCCACTCGCCTTTTCACACAAAGCTAAAAGGTAACACGGCACCTTTCTTCCACTCGGTTTCCCAACAGTCGGTGTGTTGACCGGACCAGGACAGACCGCAAACAAGCCAAACACTTAGTCACAAACACAGTTTAAAGAGTTTAAACATACCCAGAGTTCCGTTCCCCAACTCATCGCGGATCCCTCTTCTGAGTTATCCCGTATTGGACGCTGATTTCCCCGCTCAGACTCTCCTAAACTGCCGCTGGGACTCTGGTCCTGCGACTGTCTGCCCACAAACACACTCCTCCTTCTCCTCCTCCTTCTGCTGCAGCTCTATCCGCCTGAATCAGCAGGGCTGCACAAAACAGGAATCATGGATCACAGTAGCCCCAAAAATATGTTTATTCTTATATCGTTTTGATAAGACCAACATAAACATGAATACATAAAAAAGAGATTAAACTATGAGCTTGTGCAACAATTCACAGCATGTATTTGTATGTAATTCATAGTGTTGCATGTATCAATATTAAATAATGTTGAGTATACTCAACATTATTTAATATTGATCAATTGGTTCCATGTAGTGAAGAAGATATTTCAAATCAATACAAATCCACTGTCAAGGCATACGAATAAAATGTTTATTAGGTTTATTTAGTCTTTCTATGGTATTTTACAATATTGATAACAAGTGATTTTCGACCTTTAGCCATACAGTAATTTTCCAGGAGTTGTTATTTTTCATCATTGTAATTGTTTATTCGGTTTTTTTTACATTTTGTCATTGAATCTAGGTGATTTACATCAACGTGGGCTGGTCATTTTTGCGTTACTGTAGCCAAATATAGCTATTAATCTAAAATAATCTTGATAAAAAACATAGCCTACATTTTGAATTCATTGACATTTTCCAAATCATTCAAGATAATTACACATCTTTTGGTATGTGTTCAAAAAAACAAATAGGTGAAATGGATACAGCTTGCACATGGCTTTTTGATGAGCTTATTCTCAGTGAAAATGTAGTTTAATGTATAGACCTACCGCAGATGTTATAATTGTTGCTTTGGTTTGGGATTGTCTTTTGGCATGGAATTCATTTCATGAGTTTAAATGAAAGACCACATTTGGAATGTCTGTTCGCAATTAATGTTACACATTGCTTCACACATACATTTACTTTATACATATAATTTGTCTATGAAGTATAGTAGACTATTATACATTATTAACTTTTCCCATTTAACTTTTCCAACAAAAAACTAGGTTTGGAAGCCTTAATTAAATCTTTTCGCTGACTTATTTCCTTTTGCAGACATGCAATACAGTTGTGGTGTCACATAACAACTGTAAAAAAAAAAACATAAAAAGCACTCATTTTGAGAATAGATGCTTAATTTTAGGGAGTGACCATTAGATATAATTAATGAAGTGACTCTATTAGCTGTAGCTTATTACTATAGAAATTGGCTTTCCCTACAAAATTTGTACTGTGTTGTGTAGCAGTGTGTGTGTTATGATGATGTTATGTTGTAAATGTTTCTTTAGAATGCACAAATAAACGTTTACTTTTTAAAAGAAACGCTAGGCTTGAATGAGTGATTATACAGTTCCCTCTAGCGGCCTATATGTGTGACTACAGCTGTAGTGAGAGAGATATACAGCTCGAGAAAAAGTGAAGAGACCCCTCCAAATGTTTTATTACATCTCAATCTCTACATACATGGAAGCCATTCCTTTCCAGTGTCTGTTGAATTCCAACACAAATACATGTTGTCAGTAGTTTATAAAATATTTAGTTTTCATTTTACTCAAACACATACAATATTTCTTTTTTATTTGTCTTCTTTTTATGTTCCAACAAGAACCCTTAGATCCTCCAGTGCCCTGCTTTTGGAAATTCCAAGGGTATCACTCAAGAGATCTGGGGAGGCTGCGTTCTGTTTTTACGGCCCTAAACTATGGAACAGCCTCCCCGTGGATCTTGGAACAGCAAACATACTTGAAATGTTTAAAAGCTCATTAAAAACCTATGTTTTTGATAATACTTTCGTACTTTTACTAAAGTAAGATTTTGAATGCAGGACTTGTACTTGTAATTAAGTATTTTGACAATAATGATTTGTTAGCATTACAAAATATGATGCAATATGTCATACATTCAACTATTTTATGAAATACTCCAATATGATGCAGTAAAATGCTACTTACAGATTAATTCGACAAATGCACCATTTTACCTAAGTAACATTTTGGATAGAGGATATTATATATTATGTTTACAGTGTTATTCCTACTATTAATGCGACTTCATAATAACTATTACCTCAGACAGTTGCTACTAAAAAATATTGAACCCAGTAGGCTGGAAAGTGGAAACAAAAGTATGAAAGTTATAATTTAGCATGTTAAATATGATGTCAACGCCGACAATGCACACGCTCATTTTTCTCACTGTCTATTCAAACCATAGACTGTATAAAGATTCAAACACATACATCGAAACATATATCAGTATAGCATGCATTTATCGCAAGACAAGCTGAGATAAGCTAACTGCATACAAAAACCTATGTTTTTAATGTGGCTTTTAATTTGGGTTAACTTTCAATTTTCACCAGTATCATTGTCCATGTTTTATTGCATTTGTTTCTGTTTTGCTTTTATTTTACATTTTTGATTTCCTTTTTCTTTTTCTTTCTTTTTTTTAAAAACATATTATCACTGTAGATGTTGTATCTTGTTCTGTATTAATTGTAATATTGTTGTTGTGTTTTCTGTAAAGCACTTTGGGCTGCTTTGTGCATGAAAGGTGCTATACAAATAAAGTGTATTATTATTATTATTATTATTATAAAAACTAAAACCAGAGAAACTGATAATGCTGCAGGGGCCTCTTAATTTTTTTCAGAGCTGTGGATGGATAGATAGATAGATAGATAGATAGATAGATAGATAGATAGATAGATAGATAGATAGATAGATAGATAGCTAGATAGATAGATAGATAGATAGATAGATAGATAGATAGATAGATAGATAGATAGATAGATAGATAGATAGATAGATAGATAGATAGATAGATAGATAGATAGATAGATGAACCTGATTTTCTCTCCTGTAGGTGGCGGTAATGTGTATCACAGGTGCAACAGCTACCAACAAGCACAATACGGAGGAAGAGGAGACGTCGAGCTCTGTTTTGGTTGAATGTTTAGCTATTAAAGAGCATAATTTGCTATATTGCAGCAGGCAGACTGACATGTACCGCTGCATAGTAAGGTAAGACTGTTTACATTTACCAATTTAAAAAAACACATTTATTTCTCACCTTATAGTGAAGTCAGGGGTCCTTACGACCTTTGGCATAGTTTTATTTTGTATGCAGTTAGCTTACTACTTGTCTTGCGATAAATGCATGCTATACTGATATATGTTTCGATGTATGTGTTTGAATCTTTATACAGTCTATGGTTTGAATAGACAGTGAGAAAAATGAGCGTGTGCATTGTCGGCGTTGACATCATATTTAACATGCTAAATTATAACTTTCATACTTTTGTTTCCACTTTCCAGCCTACTGGGTTCAATATTTTTTAGTAGCAACTGTCTGAGGTAATAGTTATTATGAAGTCGCATTAATAGTAGGAATAACACTGTAAACATAATATATAATATCCTCTATCCAAAATGTTACTTAGGTAAAATGGTGCATTTGTCGAATTAATCTGTAAGTAGCATTTTACTGCATCATATTGGAGTATTTCATAAAATAGTTGAATGTATGACATAGTGCATCATATTTTGTAATGCTAACAAATCATTATTGTCAAAATACTTAATTACAAGTACAAGTCCTGCATTCAAAATCTTACTTTAGTAAAAGTACGAAAGTATTATCAGCTAAATGTAATTAATTAATTAACCAGTAAAAGTAATCAATGTGCAGAAAAATTGCCTTTATGTGTTTATATAATTACATTTATAGATGTGACATTTCTAGGTTATATTGTTGCATCAATACACATTTTACTGTTGAAGACAAACAAAGTTCTGATTTACTTTTTGTAAAATATGTTTACAAAAATAGACTCTTTTGTGACTTAAAGAGTTCCTTTTTTTACAGATCCATGGCTAAAGCTGTTTAATAAATGTAGTGGAGTAAAATTACATTATTTCCCTTTTAAATGTAGCAGAGAAGAAGTATAATATATATATATATATATATATATATATATATATTATAAAGTACTTGTAAATACTCAAGTAAAGTACAAGTACCTCAAATGTAATTAATTATTGTAAGAAACCACAATGCAAAATACACAAATAGTCAGAATAAATATTAACCTGTCACTTGCCCTAAGCTATTGTACCTACTCCTGTTTGTTCTCTGTCCCTAAAAGAAGTGTGTGTAGCGGAGGAAAAGTGTGTCCAGGCTTTGTGCCTCCACACACTCTCTCACCCTCATGGATGTTGAGAAACACCACAGAGGAAAGATATCACAGGTAATTCATTAACTAAGAATTATAGGAAAACATTATATTTTTCTGACCATTATTGCGAATAAACTTGTGAATATTTTATGATATCAATATACCAACTATAATTGCACGTTTATCTTGGTTCTTCCTAATAAATCATATAAAATATAGTTTTTCTCTGTTAAACTCCTCCAAGGTTAGCTAATGAAAAGAAGTGAAATTGACTACTTTAGCATACATTTATAGTATATTATTACATTAGTGTTATACATGACTATAACTCAATAATATTTGGTCATTATGATGCTGTAAAGTTGGTTATTTATGGTAAATATATCTGATAAACTGCCGTTAAGTCATGCCTGTTTCTAATAAATCCCAGAATTAATGTCAAATAGCCACATCTGAGTAAATATGCTGGTTAGAATTGTCATTGTAACTTGCAGTACGGTTAACACAATAATTGCTCAATATTCTTCTGTGTTTGCACACCTTTCTACCCTATTGTCATAAAGGTATATATATAGGTCATAAAGGTAGTACACTTTACCCAACTGTATTTCTGACTAAAGGTGGACCCTTCCTTTCAGTGATAACAAAGTTAGTTTATGAATCTTGTGTTTCAGGCTGGCTGAGCAGCGTTGGCAGTGTTCAGTCCGCTGTATGAGCTCTGCAGCCAAGAGGAAAAGGTCTCTGCACAGTGCCTTCCCTGTGCTGGAACAGCCCCTCCAGCCCATCCAACAACATGTGTATGAAGCAAACCTACAAAACAGCAACGCCTGCCACAAAAAGTCAGTTCTACTCTCATTAGCCCTGATCCATTTGGTCGATTTCCCCCACTACATTATTAACTAAAATGTATACAAATGCATGAGCTTTCTCTCTCTGTAAGGTACATTGAGTTAACTGACAAGGCAATGAAGGGTGGAGGGGAAAAAGCCATCGCCAGACACACTCAGAGAAACAAGAAGTTGCTGGTCAGGGATCGACTGCGCCTCCTTCTGGATGATGAGGATTTCCTGGAGCTGTCACTATTGGCTGGTCTGGGTCTGCCATACGGTGACATCCCTGCAGCTGGATGCCTGACTGGTGAGAAACCACTTACTGTAAATAATGTATCTTTCTATTCTCTTGCTAAATGGCTCTGATTAAATCATTTTCCTCTTCTACCTTCTTTTATTTCAAACTGTGAGCAATTTATTTTGATGCACATGTCACTGAGTTCTTCTGTGTGTTGGTATGTGTAACCCTCCAGGCATCGGCAGGATCAATGGCCTGTGGTGTGTTTTCATTGCCATGGATGCCACAGTGAAGGGCGGCACAGCGTATCCAATCACTGTAAAGAAACAGCTACGAGCACAGGAAGTTGCAATTCAGAACCGCCTGCCCTGTGTTTACCTTGTGGACTCTGGAGGAGCTTTTCTACCACTGCAGGTAAACACACACACACACACACACACACACACACACACACACACACACACACACACATATAGACAGAGCCTCCCCAGCCATAATAAGAGGTTAGCATCATTACAGTATTTTTAAATGTGATAGATGGTTGAATTACATGACTGCAGTTTGTAGTTCTAACCTGTGTGTGTGTGTGTGTGTGTGTGTGTGTGTGTGTGTGTGTGTGTGTGTGTGTGTGTGTGTGTGTGTGTGTGTGTGTGTGTGTGTGTGTGTGTGTGTGTGTGTGTGTGTGTGTGTGTGTGTGTGTGTGGTGTGTGTGTGTGTGTGTGTGTGTGTGTGTGTGTGTGTGTGTGTGTGTGTGTGTGTGTGTGTGTGTGTGTGTGTGTGTGTGTGTGTGTGTGTGTGTGTGTGTGTGTGTGTGTGTGATTGCCAGTCAGAGATCTTTCCTGATAAGAACCAGGGAGGAAGGACGTTTTATAACGAAGCCATCATGTCTGCGATGAAGATCCCACAGGTAAGGAAATATAAAGTAAAAAATAAAAGTTGTTGTAATAAACATAAACACATCTGACCTTACCTTTCCAGTGCCCTGTACTACGAAGCAGGATTTTCGGTTAGTAAGGTAATTTCAGGGTTAACTCTGGGTTTCCGGTTCTACGACGCTGGTTCATTTCTTACCGGGGTAGATCTCCATGGTAACTTATGCTGAACGGCAAACCTGCTCCGGAGCAAAGAAGGAGCACCGGATCATTTGAAAAAAGGTGCATTTGCGCACCAAGAGAGGGAGAGAGAAGAGAGAGATAGAGAAGAGAGAGATATTTGCGAGTTGCATAAGAACTGGTAAGATAGCAGGGTTTCCCACACATAGACTTTACTTGGTCGGGCCGCCCAGGTATATTAACGGCCGTCAAAGTATAATTCGCGAGCCATTTAGGTTTAATTTTTTTAATCCGTCTGCGTGCACGACGGCATCTGCTATCCCTCGCTCTACCCCTCGCTATCGCATGAAGGGTCTGCTTTATGCGCTCCACACAGTAACCCTGTCCGGCGAACAGTTCATGAGCGTGCTCACTAGCGCACCTCCCCCCCCCCCCCCCCTGCTCATAAAGTCAAGTACCCCTCAAAAGGTCCGGTTTATTTCATTTTAAGGATGCGCACCAAGCAACATCTCCAGGTGCTCCTTTGAGAACCAGGGCAAAAAAGTTATGTGCACCCCTGTTCATATCCCTCTATTTCACTTCCTGTTTCAAAATTTCTGATTTGGGGTATAAACCTTTAAAAAAAGAAATTGATTAACAAAAAGAAAGGAGGGGGCTGAGCTCATGCGGGAGATTCTACCGGCAGATTCTGCTGTGATGAAACGCCATATCATGGATTATCAAGGATTATTTCTGAAACAGTATGGAGCTCAAAGGCTTTGTATGCTAATGTAAACATGCACTGACCATATTACGTCCAAAACAGTCGGGCATTGTTTCTGATAGCAACGTTTCTGATAGGGCCGTGGGTGTAAAGCCAGCCTACATTTCCGATATTAGGCCCTACGTCATAGCGGACGCAAATCTGGATCAGCTCCGTTGTAGCCCCGTTTTTAGAGATTTGGGTACGGAGGAAAAGAGAGAGGGTTTTATTTTCTGATGCTGCGTGAGTTCCCTGACACACCGGGAAGACATTTATCTATAAAAGACGTAAAAAAGTGCATTTTGCATGATAGGTCCCCTTTAACTATCTGCCATAACATAAGTTACCGGATCAAAGTAACATACAGACGTCGATGTGTCCCATTATCATTCATATCACATCATCAATCACATCATATCACATCATAATATATCATATATTTCCTTAACTCGATAATAATAATACATTTTATTTTTAGGCGCCTTTCATGACACCCAAGGACACCGTACAATTAAAAAAAAAAAACGCTAATAGGCAACAGAACATGATAAAAACACAAACAGGAAATCATGGAGGAGACAGTCAAGTGGATGCAAATGAAACATATAATGGGGAGCACTACAGTGAGTAGGCAGATTTGAACAGGTGGGTTTTTAATTGGGATTTGAATATGGTGATTGTGTCTGACTGTCGGATGTGCGGGGGGAGGGAGTTCCAGAGTCTGGGAGCAGTGCAGCTAAAAGCCTGAGAACCCATGGTGACGAGGCATGGGGTGGGGACGGTTAGCAGACCAGCAGAGGAGGAGCAGAGGGAGCGAGGGGGGTGTACTCCTGAAGAAGGTCAGCCAGATAGGGGGGGAGGGGCAGGTTATGGAGGGCTTTGTAAGTGAGCAGTAGGTTTTTGAAGTTGATACAGGATTGAACAGGGAGCCAGTGGAGTTGGATGAGGATGGGGGTGATGTGTTCTGAGGCCTTGGTGCCGGTGATGATCCGGGCTGCAGAGTTCTGTATGATTTGTAGTTTATTGATGAGCTTGGTGGGAATGCCTGAGAGGATGGCGTTACAGTAGTCGATGCGGGACGTGACAAATGCATTGACCAGGACTTCAGTGTTTGATTGAGAAAGAGATGGGCGGAGTCTGGAGATGTTGCGTATGTGGAAGAAGGCAGTCCGGGTGATGTTATTTATGTGAGGTGAAAATGAGAGGGAGCTGTCCAGGATGACACCAAGGCTCTTAACTTGGCCAGAGAAGGGGATGGAGTAGCCATCAATTATTGAGGTTGGAGGCAGGGGAGGATGAGGTTTTGGAGAGGGTGGTTTTGGTGCCAACCAGCAGGGCTTCGGTTTTGCTGCCGTTGAGGTTTAGGAAGTTCCTGCTCATCCAGCTCCTGATGTCCTGGAGGCAGTTGGTGAGAGAGGTTGGGGGGAGGACAGTGTTGGGTTTTCTGGAAATGTAGACCTGGGTATCATCGGCGTAACAGTGGAAATGGACATTATGATGACGGAGGATAGTGCCAAGAGGGAGTAGGTAGATAATGAACAGGAGTGGACCCAATACTGACCCCTGAGGAACACCATGTGAGACAGTGGAGCAGCTTGACCGGTGGGTGCTGAGACGGACATATTGTTTTCTGTCTGTGAGGTAGGATGAAAACCATGAGAGTGCAGTACCAGTGATCCCAATGTCTGCCAGACGTTTGATAAGCAGTGGGTGCGAGATGGTGTCAAAGGCAGCTGTGAGGTCAAGGAGGATTAGGATGGTGAGCAGTCCAGAGTCAGCTGCACGGAGGAGGTCGTTGGTGATTTTTACCAGCGTTGTTTCGGTGCTGTGCTTTGAGCGGAAACCCGATTGGAAGGGTTCATGAAGGTTGTTTTTGTCCAGGTGTTGTTGAAGTTGGTCAGCAACCACTCTTTCAAGTACAGGGCACTGGGGCTCTTTCTTATTTCTCTAATTTCCCCTCCTCGACTCCTCGGTCCTCCGGTAATGACCCGGAAATGGGCTGCTGTGCCTCCTGTCATCATTAATGGACGTCTCTTTAAAATGACCACTCAGAGGAGAGGAGTTCTCATTTATCTAACCGCCTGCTGCTTCCCCTCCTCTCTCCTCGGCTCCCCTCCTCGGCTCCTCCGCTCGCATCTCCTGTGGGCGGGACTAAAACACGAGGATAGGAATCGAGGATAGGAGTCGAGGAGGGGAATTAGAGAAATGAGAAAGGGCCAAGGTCTATGCCCAACAATAACATTGTGAAATAATATTTCATTTGTTCTCAATATAGTTTTTTTAACCGGACATAGATAAGACTTTACGCACTGCAGGAATGTGGTCGAAATGTTGTGTCCGTCTTGAAAGTCCTGAGAGAAAAGACAAAAATCCACATAAGAATTGGATAAAATCTCAGCTACTTCAGTTTTAAAATGTGCACTCTCTGAAAAACATATTTGCAAATGAAAACCACTAACAATCCAAAAGGTGTCGGTGGTGTGCGGGTCATGCACGGCGGGTGGAGCTTACATCCCCACCATGGCAGAAGAGACAGTGATGGTGCACCGGATAGGAACCATATTTCTGGGCGGGCCACCGCTCGTTAAGGCCGCCACGGGAGAGGAAGTCACACCAGAAGACCTGGGAGGAGCCACGCTTCACGCAGAGTACGTCACTAAACACATTGTTATTATAATTAAAGAAATAAGAATAAATTCCCATTATCATGCCTGTTGATTTCTCTTCAGGGTGAGTGGCTGTGTGGACCATTTTTCCTGGGATGAAAAGGAGGCGTATGAGTGTACCAGAAACATTGTGTCCACCCTCAACTTCCTACTGCCCGAGGAAGAGGAGGAGGATGAGGAGAGGACGAGGAAGAAGAAAGCTGAGGAAGAGCCGCTGTATAGTTCAGAGGAGCTTCTGGGGCTCGCTCCTAAGAGTTATAACTACAGTCTAGATGTTAAAATGGTACAGTATGCACACACACACACACACACAAGCAGTAACTGAAGCTGACAGTGAACACTATAAATGTCACTTTCTTGTAAATGGTCACTTCACACTTCGTTGTGATTTTTGGAAAAGTCCTTTTTCTATAATGGCGCTCATTTTGCTGTCTCAGTGATGCAGTATGTATGAAAGCTGTTTGCTGTTTCTGTGTGTCTGTCCAGGTGGTCAGTCGGCTGACAGACGGTAGCCGCTTCCAGGAGTTTAAAGCTCGCTATGGAACCACGCTCATCACTGGCTTTGCAAAGATTCATAGGTAAAAGATACAATCACACACACAGGGATTAAGATGTAGGTTAAGATAGCAAGGGCAATAACAGGAACAATTTCAACCAACAAACGGTCTCTAAGTATGTTAGATTAATAGATTTGTTGACCAAAATGCACGGTGCTTGTTAACCTGCCAACCCCCCTCTCAATCCCTGTTTGTCTTTGTCTCAGATCTATAATATTTTCTAAAACAAAAAGAGTCCTTCGTAGGGCACTTAGATAGTCGCTGGTGGTTTAATGAAACTCTTATTAATTCTGTCATTGCTTCCTTAGACATTTGCATAATTTAAGGCTTACCTTCAGAAACACAGTGACCCCTCACCCTCACAGGATTAGCTGCTGCCCTCAGTAACATCTTAATCAGATCAGCAGACGTCAAAAGAAAAAAAGACCAAAGCAAATTTAAATCTCTGTCCCTCGACCAATGACCAACTGTCACATAGCGCTTACTGTTGTTGGAGAGCAGTGTGACTGACTCATCAGCAGGATAGTTTCATGCTCTAGTTGTGGTATTACTTGTTCTTGAGTATATGTGAGCACCTTTTTACATCTGTGTATGTGTTCTGTGTTAGCAACTTAGTGGGAATAGTAGCCAACAATGGAGAGCTGTCATACCAAGCGGCACTGAAAGGAAGTCAATTTGTTCAGTTGTGTGACCAAAGAGACATCCCACTCCTCTTCCTCCAGAACACAGTGCCCACCGCAGCGCCTACACTCACCACCACTCAGGTACACACCCCCAGTGACACACACAGGCCTGCTGAAATACAACATACATAAAACTCAAAAGTAGAATTGATAAAACTAATATTTTGTCTTTTTTGGATTTATATCTGATTAAAGTTATTATTATTATTATTGTTTAAATCAATGTTGTACTATTCACATCTTATACTGCACTGTAACTTTTATTCATGTACCTGTGTTATTCATGTTTTATTATCTTTGCTTTTTAATGTTTATAATGTGTTTTATGCTCTTAAAGGGGACCTATTATGCAAAATGCACTTTTGTACATAAATATGTGTCCTCTCTGTGTAAAGAGATTCGGAAAAAAAAAAGATTCCCTCTCTTTTTGTCCTGATCCATATAAAAAACCTGTCTGAAAATGAGCTGATCAGATTTTGGCCACTTTATGATGTCACAACGATTTTTTTGGCTTGTGTAATTAGCCAATAACCAACCAAGGTAACCCCCGCCCCCCCCCCCCCCCCTTATCACCTGCATCTCTTCCTAGAGCTCTATTATTTTTAACCAATATCTTGCAGACAGGCGATGGGAGTGGCTCCTTATTTTCTGGATTATGGGATGCATAATCTGTTTGGTATTTCGAGCCAAACAGACCTATAATATATTGATGAAAATCAGTATAATAGGGGATCTTTAATGTCTTTAATTTTTGTAAAGCACTTTGAATTGCCTTGTGTTGTGCTATATGAATAAACTTGCCTTGCCTTGATATTTTGGGACTTTGGGGAAATAATACAATTGTGGAAATCATGAAACATTTTGAAATTTCACATCTGTTTTTTTTTTCTCTGTGTTTTTTTTCTTTCTCTTCCAGGCAGAGATGAACACCAACCGCCTGAAAGCTCAGGGTTCGATGATGTCAGCAGTAGCGTGTGCCTCCGTCCCAAAAATCACTGTGGTAATTGGTGGCTGCCATGGTGCAGACAGCTACGCCATGGTGAGATTCTCATCATCTTTTCCGTACTTTTCTTCATCATCATACTTTACGCTCATGTAGAATCTAGAATAACTCCACAATAATCTGAATCCTGTTTCCGGTTTTTTCTTCTAGTGTGGGCGGGCTTTTGACCCTAATTTCCTGTTCCTGTGGCCCAATGCCAGAGTGTCGATGACGGCTCCGGGTCACGCTGCCTCTCTGCCTTGCCCTGACAGTGAGGCAGAAGAGGAGGAGGAGGAGAAGAAGAAGAAGCAGGAGGACAGGCTAAATAAGAGACTGGATGAGGAGAGCTCAGCATTCTTCTCTTCCGGCAGACTCTGGGACGATGGAGTCATTCTGCCTCAGGACACCAGAAAGGTATAAAGCATTACCAATACAATTTACCACCTCCATTTTGACATCTTTTAATACTAATGTGTACATGTCTGAAGGTTCTCAGAGACTGCCTTGACATCATCAAACAGCAGCAGTATCAACTCACCACAGAGAGAGTCCGGTCAGCACTTCTGCGTATATAAAGGCTGCCATCTTCCTTCTCCTCACTACCTCTGGACTCTACAAGCATCCGTCCACTGAGCTGCTGTTTTTAATGTAATCTGGTTGCTATAGCCCATTAGTGACATTTACCAAAATGTGCCAAAAGAATCAAAGCCAGCCCTGGCCTTTATTCAGTATGACTGGTCATTGAGGGTGATCATCATCCTAAAAGAGAAGAATGGGGAAATCGCAGCATTTAAAATAATCTACATACCGAAACACAAATGTGTTAATACATTACCGCAACATCTTGTCAGATACTTGGTAAAGTCACTCACCAACTTTCCAAAAGGTTCAAGAGTCCTCAAATATTGAATTTGTTTTTAGGTTTGGACCTAATACATTTTTCTGTCTGCTGTAAACACAGGTGATGATTTAAAGTTTCATTTTTGGTATAATATTTCTCAAAGTTATGTTGGCTTATTGAATTTAAACACTGAAAAAAGTCCCGGTTAAGTGCCTCATCATGTCTTGAGTACATAAAGAAACGCTATTGAAATTCAATCAATGCTACAAGAAGTGTGAAGTATTGTTATTAATATATGACTGTTACATTTATTTTGTTAGCACAAGTACTGTGTTTGAGCCTCAACCGAGTTGTGTTTTTTTCCACAGATAATCATGTGCCACCTTTTATTAATTTGTTATTCAAAAGCCCCACATACACTGATATTTGTTTCTAGTAACAATTTATTCAACAGTAATTTCTGTCCAAAATGAACACATTGTAAGATATCATGCTCTGTAATTAAGAATGTAAATTAATAATAGTAATGTAGTTTTATTTCATTTGTATTCTAAAATGAACAAAAATGTTAAAAAAATTCAATTGAAAACTAGTGTGTTTTTTTTCATGTTTTTAATAAGGGGGATATTCCAAAATTGAATGTCCCAGTTTACTTATAAGTTAAAACATTTGGGCTGAGTTTGCTGTAACAAAGGTATTGTTATGTTGAAGTGAGTACCACTGCTTGCATCCAAATGTGAAGTTAATTCAAAGGAAATTGAAATAACATTAACGTTTGCAAGCAAAAAAAAATCTTAAACTCTTGACAAGATCATATAATAGTCAGTGAAGTATGGTAGACGAAATGCACTCTATGGTGACCTTTCAGTGGAGAAAAAGGATGATCCACTACCATTGAATACCAGCTGGGGGCAGCCATGATGAAAAGTTCAATAAAAACTTTACATTCTTGGTCAAAATGTGGAACCCCTTTTTTTATATTTAAGCATCACAAATAATGTGCTTTATTGCATACGTTGAATTAAACCTTCTGTAAATGGAAACATTTACCTAAATAAGAGAAAGAAGCTTTTCAGATGTTCTTTTACCTGTAGAGTTTGTAGAGGGCGCAAGTGAGTAATTCACATACAGTTTAAGTAACACATTTATAAGTATTCTTAATGGGGGGGGGGGGGGCACATCTGCTTTTCCTTGTATATTGACGAGTAGTTAACTTCCACCACTGCTCATTTGAATCCTACTCTCAAAAGGTGTGGCTGTCAGCTTCCAGAAGTCCTCATCTCTTAAAAATGTAAATGCTTTGGATGTGTGAGCTTCCCTGTGCAGACCGAGGAATCTGCAGAGTTTAAAAAGAAGCATGTTTTCACGCTTTTTCTCTGCACTGTCTGCACAATAAATCTGACGTTATGACGCATCAGCAGGAGCATCAGGTTGGGACATCTTGATATCCTGGTCCAACATGCAACTTGTGCAAGTGTTTTGGAAAACTCAAAGCCTCCATTTCTGAGTAAGTGTCCAACAACTTAACTTTTGAAATTACTATTATGTGCATATTCACGTGTTCAATAGGACTGATTACAGAAGATGAAGTAGTTACAGAAAATGTAACAACGGAATTTACCTTTTTTTGTGAAAAGGGCAGATTTTTAATCAAAGGAGAGTGATTTAATCCCTTAAAAAGTGTTCAGATGTAATCTTCCAAACAGACATCTGGGTCTATCTTTTAGTAGCCTACTGTTTCCAAACATTAGCATAACTAAAGCAGTGGCTTAATCAAGCCCATCCTCCCCAGTTGCAATGTCTCTAACCTCCACTGTCTTTCTGTTTATCCCCCACCATACTATCATTCTGCCTTTAACTGAACAGCATGATCCCCACAAAAGGCCATTTAAAGTATGCTAATGTATATTGTGTGTGTGTGTGTGTGTGTGTGTGTGTGTGTGTGTGTGTGTGTGTGTGTGTGTGTGTGTGTGTGTGTGTGTGTGTGTGTGTGTGTGTGTGTGTGTTGTGTGTGTGTGTGTGTGTGTGTGTGTGTGTGTGTGTGTGTGTGTGTGTGTGTGTGTGTGTGTGTGTGTGTGTGTGTGTGTGTGTGTGTGTGTGTGAGCCAGTGAACACAAAAGGGTTGATTACTGCTGATGGCAGCTCAATGGCTTCTTGGATCACAGCAAACTATGTGGAAGTCAATATGAATGCCAATGTATTCACACATTTTGGTGAAATATAGCATGTACATTTACTCTTAATAGTAAAGTAATAGTTCCATATTGGAACTCAACTCATGTATGCTAGGCAATATATTTATTTGCTTTCTTTTTACAAATTGACTTGTATACCTACCTATGTATGGCTTTAAATAATTGCATTGCTTAACGGTTATAAAATAAAGTAAAGAGGTTGTCTCAACGGAAAAACGACATAACTCATTTTGTTTGAAACAGCTAAACGTGCTTTCTTCATGGTCGCACTGTTTTCTTACTGTACTCCACCCAACCTCTATTCTTCGAGCCTGATCACGTGACGCGCTGCTCGTCCAATCGCGTTGCAGAATCACACGGCTCGTAATTTTGAACAGACGACTATCAGCCAGGCAGAGCTGGGTATTATCAATGCTGCCATTCACACAATCCTGCAGCAAAACATCGGCTAAATCCTCCCCTGAGTAATGGATATTTTGACCTCTTGTCATATCGTTTAGAGGAAAAACGTTCTGTGTTTTTGAGATAAAAATGAATTCTCATGTTATCACCCCAGGACCGTACCGGGCCACCAAACTCGTAAGTTACCATTTGTTGATAAGTGCTTTAGCTTCCTAACGTTAGAGGTTGCTAACTGCTAATTCATGAGACACATTTCCGTCTACCGAAACGCTATAATGTTAGCTGGTTAATGTGACTTTACTCCTTATCGTAAATAACAGTTTGTTGGTTACCTTTTGTGTTTTCATAGAGTTAATATCGTCTTTTGTGAGTTCCTTACCCTAGCATAATTGAAGTTAATCCTGCTCACTTGTTAATTTGTCCAATACGTAGCTTTTTCTCAACGTCTTTTCTCCACATTATCAGGAATGCGTCAAGTATTCTTGTGTATCTGTTAATAATGTTTTAGGCTGACATAACATAACAGTTTCCGTTCAATGATTGACTAGAACATATTCAATATTGAGAAGGTTTAATCAGATGATTTGCATGCAATAGTATTCTTAAATGTCAATTGTTACCAACTTTAAGCTAAATAGATACTGAGCAATACATCAGAATTAAGCGAACTGTTGGAGGGCTTATTAGACAGTTTTGGATCAGATATGTGTTAATTATACCCCTCCATTTAAAAACATTTTGATTGTCGACTTATTTTACAAATATATATTTTGTTTTCCTTTGAGGGAGGCTTTAAGTCTTTAAAATATCAGAAGAAAGTGGAAAATGAGTCTCGTAAATTCCAGGTTTGAAAACAAGGAGATGTCTTCAACTCTGACTGCAACTCAAACATATTCAACTCTCCCTATTGACAAGGTGCCAGAGGTGAGAAATAGTCTTAAATGGTACAAATTCCAACAAGTCACCAACACGTGTAGTACAAAGCCAAACCTTACACCTAATTCTGCAACCCTTTGACCTTTGACCCGCTGGGTGTCCCAGAAAACGACAGTTGTTCTCACAATAGACTGGTTATTTATACTACAAGTGTTTTTGGCTTTTAGGACCATGAGCCATAAATATTTTTAGGACTTCTTGGTTGTCTGCATTGTTTTGTCTCGACTTCGTCTCAGATCAACGCTTTACCGATGCAACATTTTTTTCTGTTTCTTTGAAAGAAATGTTTGCAAACCTTTATTCAAACTACACCAGTGCATCCCTTCTGTCCAGTCGTCCTCAGGTCAATGCATTCAAGAACGTCCCACAGGACACGGTCTTGAAATAAAAGAAGAAATGAACATAAGTTAATTTATTAAACTCCACCCTCTCTGTTTCAGTGGAATGAGGTGACTCGCTTGTTTCGGTCTGGAATGCCCCTCAGGAAACATCGCCAGAACTTCCGGCACTACGCCTCCTGCTTCGCCGCCTCGGCCGCTGTGGAGTGGATGCACCAGCTGCTACGTAACAACAGCAATTTTGGCCCTGATGTCACCAGGCAGCAGACAGTGCAGCTCCTGAAGAAGTTCTTGAAGAACCACGTGATCGAAGACGTGAAGGGTCGTTGTGGCACAGAGGATCTGGAGGACAACAACACTCTGTACAGGTAGGGCATCTTTCTTTATAAACATACACAATCGATGTAGATTACACTCCCCCACACAAAATAATGCAATCGATGTCCTCTCTTTTCTCCCCAGATTCCCCACCACTTCCCCTCTGAAGCCAATTCCCTGTCCAGCTTCAGGCTCGGCTCCTGGTTCTGTTAAGAAAAGACCTTCATTCAGGGACAGGGAGGGTTTCTTCAAGTTTAGGGGTATCAAGAAGGAACATGAGAAGGAGACGCAGGTAAGCTAGACAGGGCAATGTTTCTATTTTATGTACAACTTTATCACAAGACCCAGGTTTGACGTACGGTCCGTATTTGAAAAATAATCAGTTTTGTGATTCTCTGTTTGTGCCTTCCAGGAAAATGTCGATCCTGCCCTCCAAGCAGGAGGAGAGAATCAGCCAATAGGAGAGCAGCAGGTGCCGAGGCGAGAGCTGACAGTTGAGGATGAACAGGAGATCTGGAAAGACATCACCACGACACAGTATAAACCCCAAAGATATCACTTTTCACAATCAACATCTTTTTGATACATCTAAACTAAGCCTTGAAATCAGAAAGAGAAGGAGATTTGTTGTGAGTGACTGAAGCTTGTGTGTTGTGTTTCAGCCTGCAGAGGATTCTGGGCGTTGCATCTCTTGATGAGGTTTTAGACCAGCGTTATGTGAACCCACAGAACATCGTCCATAATATGACCAATGTCAACAAGCATGGAGTGGTCACTCTGGATGACAAAACGAGTAGGTTTATACATCTACAAAAAACAGTATGAAAAGTATAAAAAATCCTCATGCTATAAGGATTCTCTTTTTGAATGAATACGATAATACAATATAATCTTTTAACTTTGAAACAGTTTTTATCAAAAATCTGAGCATTGACACGTGAGATATTTTAGATGTTATTTCAAGGTTATACAACACACTAACGGTTCAATGTACTGCAACTAGCAACCAGTGTAACCCGTTTACCGTCTCTCTAGATGACCTCCCACACTGGGTTCTCTCTGCCATGAAGAGCCTGGCCAACTGTGAGTAACAACAAGCTGCTTTTACACCTCTGTGCTGCATGAACATTGCTAAGAGCTGATCATGGGGAAAAAATAACAACCTAATGCGAGACAATACAAGTGAAACACTGTTTTTGCACTGTTCAATTTCAAGAGTTCCGGCTAGTTTGCATTCATAACAGGACATTCTTTCAGACTAGTGCAAAGATAACATCCGAAAATACACATTAAGATGTTAATCCTTCTTTGTTTATTCACGTCTATAGCTTTCTCTTAAATGCACACACATGACATTATGTTTCTTTTGCATATCTAAACAAAATATATATGAGAACTTGTAATACAGAAAATAATTAGCTAATTTTCAATGTTTAAGTGTGCCATATTGCGTCATTAAACACATTATTTCTTTAACTTATTACTTTACTTAACAAAATCATTGCCTTGGATCAACTTTCAGGAAACTGAACTCTCTGAATTATTAAGAATCCAATAGAAAGTTACAAAGGCTTTGTTTTGGGACCTCTCAAATATCCTTCCATTTCATGGTAGATGCATTAACATGATTTTTATTTCCAGGGCCGAAGTACGACAGCGAACAGCCGTCCTATCCCGGCTTCGAGAGAGACGTCTTTAAAACGGTGTCAGATTACTTCTACAGCCTTCCGCAGCCAGTACTCACATATGAGCTGTATGAACT